TGAGAGTCCTGCTACCTAGTTATGTGACCTGGGACTGGTCACCTCCCCCCACCACCTCACCGCCCACCCAGCTAGTGTTCATTACTGTGAAATGAGGAATTTGGACCAGGTGTCTCCTAATCATTCTGGGCACAGCTTGTGCTCAGCCAGCTCAGGGGCCATAGGCTGCAGCCTCAGTGTAGGGAGGGTGCAAGGCAGAGAAGTGGGGATGCTGGGAGGGGAACCGTGTCCCGGATGGGGCCAAGTGTCCCTCAGCTGGGCCCCTGGGTTTGGCACCCAGGCAACAGAGTTAAATGATGTCGAGGGCAGGCTCTGGAGTCAGATCTGAATTCAAATCCTGACATGTACCAGCTGCATGGCCTTGGATAAGCTACTTAACTTCTCTTCACCTGGGTTCCTTATCTTTAAAATAGTTGTCACGGTATTTACTTCCCAGGATTGCTGGGGGATTCAGTGGCGTGTAATAAGCTCTCAGTGCTGTGAGCTGCTAATGGATGGTGGCCAGGCATGGGACAGCAGGAGAGAACAGGGCTGAATCCTCCACTTATGGAGACTGACTAGCACATGGCCCCTTCCTTGGTCTGGGGGTCTTACTAAACCTACAGCAACCACATTTTCCAACCTCAATCTAAAAACGTGGCCTGAGAATGGGAAAGAATATTGGCAATAAGAATTGTTCCAGAAAGCTCAGGGCATATGGCCACCATACTTCAGCCTTCTTCTTGGAGCCCTGACTTGTTATCCCACCAGGGTGAAGGCCAAGGGCCTCCTCCCATCATTTAGAAAAAGCCTTCTCTGAAACTAGCTCCCACCACAAGAAGAGAGACCCATTTTATCCCAATCCTGCTCTCTGTGACCAGGGCCTTGGTGTGGGGAGTCCAAAGTAGAGGCCATTTCTGGGCCCTGTTCTCAAGCAACTCTGCCACCTGCTTTGGTTTTGCAGGTCCAAGATTAAGTTCTGCTCTTAACTGGAAACATGGTGTTCTCTGTCCCTTGAGTAGAGGCACCATAGGTGGACGTGATGGTGTTGATGAGAGTGGAAGGGGCCTCTTGTAAACCAGAGTTGATGCTGTTAGAAGCCCACAAGCAGTGGGGGCAAGTGAAGAAAGAGAATCAGTCTACCCAGGGGCCTGCTGGGGGTCTTCCCACAACCTCTGATAGCGAGGATTGCATGGGACTTGCCTGACAAGTGACTGGGTGTCCGGGGGCGCCAAACCAGTCAGATGGCCAGTCCAGAGACCTTCTGCCAGAGGTGTGGCTTTGAATGCTACCCAGGAGAGCCTCATTCATTCATTCAATCATTCACTGAGTACTAACTCTATGCCCAGCTCCATGCCTGGCACTGGAACTACAGAGATACATTGGTCATGGTGCCTGCCCACAAGGAGCTCACAAGGGGATGGATGCTATCTAATTACTCACACACTTTCCTTCCCTGCTCACTCTGAAGCCTAGACCAAGACTTGCTTCTGCCTTCTGCTCTATTATAGCACAGCTCTGCCAGAGAGCCCTTCAGTTCAGTATCAGGGCCTAGCAGTGGTTTCATAGTCCAGTTCCATCCCTCTACCTCGCTGTCACCTCTGAGACTCTACCCTTGGGAAGTCCCACTTTGGGCTCTCTCTCTCCATTGTCCTGAGGAGGTTTCTCCAAGTGGTTGGTGCTGACAACATCTTCATTTCCTCTTCCTTTTCTAGTCTCTTCTATGTTCTCTTTTCTTTTCTGCTCCTTCCCTACTCTCTTCTCCTTTTCAACCGCCACCCCCTACCCTCCAAACCCATCCCCATCCAGGCCTTGGACTGCCCTCCTTAGCTGGATACCCAGGCTTTGGGAAAGCAGAGCCCGCTGATTTTATCCCTGTGGCAAGTGCTCTCCCCCTAGCCAGTGCTTCCCTAGGTTTCTAGCGTGGGAAGCTTCTTCCCTTTCTCCCTCTCTCTCTCTTTGCCCTTCCTCTGCCTCTGTGCCTGCTCCTTTCCTGAGCTTCTCCTCCTTGCACCTCAGACCCCAGGCTTCTCCCAGCCTCCTCTCCTCACTCCCTCCCACCCTTCCTCCTTGCCTTCATGGGGCGCCATCCCATCCTCTGGAGAGAGCCAGTGAGAGCCTATGGGCCCTTGGCTGATTGAGAGGGCTGCCTCTCTGTCCCTCACCAGTAACGCCACTGCCCTCTCCCTGTCCCTGCACCTCTCCTCCCTGTTCCCCCAGAACTTTGTGCTCCTTCGCCATTTATCATTACTGCTGCCTTTCCCTCCTCCTCCTCATCTTCCTTCTCCTTTGGGGAGTTTCCTCAAGCCTCTTGCAGCCTCCCTTGGGGATTCTCTGCATGCTTTCATCACACTAGTTTGCTTTTCTGCTCTTCTAGCACCTTCTTTCTCTTCCTGTCCCCCAACCCCCTTCCTTCTCTTCTTCCCTTATCCTGCCTCCCCCTGCCACCTCTGCCAGTAGCAGGCTTCCTTTCGCCTTTCTTTCCTCCCTCCCCCTTTCTCTCCGTTGCTGCCTCTGTAACCTGTCTTATCACCAGGGCCTGAGTATACAAAAAAATAAATAAATAAAAAGGTCAGTGAGTGGAGGGAGCAGCAATAACCCCTAAAACAGTACTATCAGTGAAACATGATTGATCAATTGAATTCCATAGCGGCTGAAAAATGTGGGATTAAGTAGTGTATTATACGCACAATGAGTTGAGGCATGATGTTCATTTCAAGTTCATTTCGCCGGCCTCTGCCACCAGATCAGGCAATCAATAGGGGCAGCAGATATCATATATCACCTCTCTGCGGGCTGGGGAGAGAGCACCATAATCTCTCGCAAATTTAGAGTGACAGATTTGTCAAGATCTGAAGGGCCCCAGAATAAATGAAGGAAAAGAGACTCCTCCAGCCAGTGACCTGAGGACAAAGCTCCAGTTCAGCCCCTACACACACACACACACACACACACACACACACACACACACATACACACACACACACACAGAGGCTAAGCCAAGCCACACACAGGCATATACACAAATCTACACAGAGGCATGGTATGAGTCTCCCCACACATATGCACACACCCATGCACACAATATGTGAGCACAAGCTCACAGACAAATGCACACTTTACTCCCCAGGACTCATTGGTGACACTGCAATAACCACACACAAAGACACTCACTGCTTCCCTTGGCCCTGACAGCATGGCTTTCCAAAAAGGTAGCAGGACTCCAGCAAGACAGAATTCAACACAATGGAACATGCAGATAGCGCCAAGAGGTGGAATTAGAATGATGGCACATCCTTGAAAGAGAAGCAGGCACAGAATAAACATGGAGCACGTGGGCTCACGTTCCCCGTGCAATCGCACACGTACACACACACTTTCTTTTAGGAAGGTTCCTGCTCTGTCACTTACACATACGCAGACATTTATTTATCTGGATGCTTACAGAGAATACTCACACAAAAGGGAAAAATAAATATACCCCATACTAACTCAATAGAGAGAGACACATACACCCTCTAAGACGGAAAATCATTCCAGAGGCTTACACAGAAACAAACACAACAACCAAGTTTTGTGTCCGTAGGAGCATAGGGAACATAGGAGAACCATCAAGGCTGCCCTTGGGTCTGTCTGTCCGCCTCAGATTTGATCCACACACACACTTTGTTTGCTTTCCCACCCCCTCCAGAATAGAGAGGAGGGAAGACAGGAGGTCCCTTTTGGAAAGCAGACCCCCATGCTCCATCTAGGAGGCCAGCAAGAGAGGATGGCTGCAGGCTGAGGTTAATCAATATGTAATATTTTCTATGGTCTCCCGAATGATACTGTACAGTGTTACTGTATATAATGCAATATTGATTACATCATATCATATAATCACCTATAAACTGATATATATAACAGTCCCAGAGGAACACCCAGGGGCCTACAGCATGGGCTGGCCCCAGGCCCAAGGTTCCCCAGCTGGTCTTGGGCTGAGGGAAGCCAAGGAGTGGCCAAGCTGCGTCTGGGGAGGAGCCAGCTTTGGGCGGGGGAGTTGCAGGGTGGGGTTCGGGGAGAGGTGGCAGAGCAGGCCCTTGGCCCACTGTGCGTTCTGAAAACTGCAGTGGGCCCGACATGGGAGGGCAGGGACAGGAGGTGGAGGTAGCAGAGTGGTGAGAAAGCTGGGTAGAGCAGGACATGGACAGGACTGGCCTGCAGCCACAGAGAGTGGGCACTTATGTGGCACCACTGGGCCCTGTCCTTCATGGAGCGAATCTCAGCTCCCTGTGGAGACCTGCAGGGGGAACCAGGTGGCCAAGGAGCTGGCCTCTGATGGAGGCCTAGCCAGAGTCCAGGTCAGGGACAGAGGCTGAGAAGGGTGGCCTGGCACAGCGGTGTCCACAAAGACCCTGTCCTTAGTCTCTGCCCAAGTCAGTGTTTTACAGCTCACGGCTCCAGTCTCAGTCCTGGCCCAGAGCAAGCAGAATGCCTTGGCTTGGCTTTCAGAGTCCCTCCTCCCTTGGTGGTAAAGTTAATTACTTCGCCCAGTCTCTGTGTTACACTCAGCCTCGGAGATTTGATGATTTTCCACCCTTAGAGTCAGTAGAACTGAAATTCATCTCAGAGCTGAGTTCAATTCTCCACAGGCTCCGTAATGCTCGTCTGAAATGCCCAGCTCCTCCCCAAGACTGACCCAGGCCTGGGGACAGAAGGGGTTCAGGGGAGACACCCCTGGGCAGACGGCCCCTGGGAGCCCCTGTGGCTCCACCTCTGCCTAGTCTCTCCTGTCCTCTGCACTGTGACAACTTGCCTTTCTCTTCCCAGGTCCTTCAGAGGCTCTGGCTTCCTCAGCCAGATCTCTGAGGCATGGCCAGCCCCTGGGCCAGCCCCTCCAGCCTCAAAGCTGGGAGTAAGGGGTCCTAGCAGGGGTGCAAAGCCCTGGGGGCTGAGCCAAGTGCCCCCCCCCTTTGCCCACTGTACTACTCTGTGCCTCTGCTGGCCTGTGCTGATGCCCCGAGTGTCCATGTGTTCTCCAGATGTGTCCGAGGGCTCAGTCCCCAACGGAGACTCCCAGAGTGGTGTGGACAGTTTGCGGAAGCACTTGCGAGCTGACACCTTCACCCAGCAGCAGCTGGAAGCTTTGGATCGGGTATTTGAGCGTCCTTCCTACCCTGACGTCTTCCAGGCATCAGAGCACATCAAATCAGAACAGGTGAGGAAGGAGCTTTCTGCCTGCAGATGTGGAAAGGAACTGGGTAAACAAGGCCTCTGGAGAAGATGCACACGGATCAGCCATGTGCACACCTAGCATTGCATGTGCTACATATGGGTGCACCGCATGTGTGCTGTGTGAACACACTCACACAAGGACATTATGGTAGAGTTAAGAAAAATCATTATGGTACATGGTAGTTAGAAATGATGAGTTCTGGGTGCGAGTATGGCCTTGGGTAAGTCTTATCCCCTTTCAGAGCCTCAGTTTCCCCATCTGTAGAATAAGGGCTTGGATGTATAATCTAACAGGTGCCTTCCAGCCCTGCCATTCCGTGCTTCTGGCAGGGTACTCAGGAAAGTCCTCTTGCCCTGTCTCTTACCAAAACACCCCTGGGGTCCTGCAGAAAGTCTGTGCTTGCCTGGTGTCAGGAGGAGAGCCTGCTGTGCCTGCCTCCTGCTCCCCCATCCAGCTGTCCAGTGTGACCCCAGGCAGGCTGACGGCCTGCCCCTCAGACCTAGTACTTCTTACAGATGCGGAACAGCCCAGAACACACAGCATGGGACACAGACCACAACACACCAGCATAACACACAAAGTAGAAACACATCTCCTGACTCCTCACATTTACCCGCATGCACGTGCACCTCCCCCCACCTGCTCCCTCCCCCCACAGCCCCCAGTACTCACAGCATAGCCGGCCAACCAGTAGGCGGGCATCCCCCCAGACCACCAGCTCAGCACACCTCCAGCACCCACCTCCACCCACACATCAGTGTAGCCCCCAGTGCACACGCTCAAACACGGGAGCACACACCCATTCCTCCCACACCTATGGCCCAGGCCAGGCCCAGAACCGCAGCACAACAGTCTTCTGTGCTTGTACACACACGCACACCAGCGCAGCCCCACAGGCTCCACACAGCACAGTTCCGCTCCAGGACTCCACCAGCTCTCTGCCACTCGCCTTTCTCCCCGCCCGTCCTTTTATCCCATACGCTGTTTGTCTTCATAAAACAAAAATCAAAAGTCTTTTTAAGGTGCCCTGAGCCATAAACCAACAAAGGAGGAGCCGGCCGAGGCGGGCGGCTCGGTGCACCCTCCCCGAGTCCCCGGCTGTATTACAATGAATAACCTTTATTTACTTTCATTAGACTATTAAACACCAGCACAGTCATTTTTCCCCCTGAAACTCAGAGCAGGGCCCATAAAGCAAATCCGAAGCCTAATTGAGTTCATTTTAATTTCTCTCCGATCACAGCGAATTACTCTGGTGATAAATCAGGGGGCAGCTTCACCCCCAGTAGAAGGCCTAATTTGCAGCTAATTACAAAACTGATTTCTACAGGAAGATCAATACGAGAAGGAATTGGAAATGACGAGGCAATCCCGTCCAGCCAGGAGGGGAGGGGACCCTCTGGGGGGGCCAGGAAGCGGAAAGGAAAAAAACGGACCCGAAAGAACAGAAAATCAGTTTTAATTTAACGTAATATTAATCAGAGCAACTTTTCCTGCTTTGTGCAGTCTCCTGGTCTGCCCAGCTCTGGGGTCTGGCTTGGCGGTGGCTGCAATAAAAAGGCAATTACCCGAGTGTTTCGGGCAGGACACCCTTTCAGAGTCAATGACTGGCCCCCTCCCACCCTTCTGTTAGCCATGTGGACTCTCCCCCTCCCCAATTTCATACCCCAGTGCACAGGCAGAGAGCAAGGGGCCCATGGGGCTGTCTTTGTTTGTTTTTAAAAAAGGGGCGCTAGCACCCAATCAGCCAGCCCAGCAGTGCCAGGCTGGAGGCCCCATAGGCCCTTCCCCCAGCTACTACCTCTGCCATCATGTCATGGTTGGCCCCTCCTCCCCAAGGGCCAGTCACTCCAGGGGGTCCTTAAAACACCCCTTGCCTCTCAGCAGGGGGAATCCCCACTGCTACACTCCGCCCTTGGGGCTTCTTAGGCAGGAGATGGTACAGAAGTTTCAAGGGTGCTGGGATAATCACTGATAATGTATAGGCTGCACCTCCAGCTTCACAAAGTCAGCTCTACCCCCACCCACACAAAACTCGCCATCATCTGCCCAGCCGTCCTGCCCTCTCTCCCCTCCCTCTGCCTGGCCATCTCCTTCCACCCCATCTGGGAGGGCTCCCGGTCCTCCTCCCCATCTGCACGCTGAGCCCTTTCTCAGTGGCCTGTGCACATCAATAGAGAGCTGTCGCTTTTCTCTCTCCCCCAGGGAAATGAGTACTCCCTCCCAGCCCTGACCCCTGGGCTTGATGAAGTCAAGTCGAGTCTATCTGCATCCACCAACCCTGAGCTGGGCAGCAACGTGTCAGGCACGCAGACATACCCCGTTGTGACCGGTAAGGAGGCTTCCAGGAGGGTGGGGGTGCTGCTTTCAGTGGGGGCACCTCAGCCTGTGCCATCTTGGGCCCAGTGTGACAAGTGGGCCCCCTGCCATGATATCTGCAGAGAGTGAGCCTCCAAAAGCCATGGTGCTTCCTGAACAGATGTGTCCAGATGTGAGAAGAAAAACGGTGGTCAGGGTCTCTGTGCTCCAGCCTGGAAAGGTCAAAGCCGGCAGGGGCTATTGCTGGTTCTTTCTGCCCATGCTCTTGCCTTGCTCTTTGCCATTTTTTTTGCCTCCACCAAGGTGCCCAGAATTATGGGCCTCTTGCTAGGATGTGTGCAGAAGAATGCAGGGGGTAGATAGGCCAGGCTGGCGAGAATGGAGCATAAGAGCCCAGTGTCTAGCCTCCACACTTCTGTGTCCCCAAGGCTCCTGAGGGACCTGCTTTCCTCTCCCTCTGGGCAGCCTGGGTGGCCATGGCTTTGGGCTTCAGGGCATGGCATCTGGCTCTGTGGTTACAGAGAAGCACAATTATTCCAGCCCTTCTCCTGCTTCCCAGAGAAATCACAGAGACCAAGGCTTGAGTTCAAGGCCAAGCAGGGTCAGACCTGTCCCATAGTCAAATGCAGGGGGAGGGCCCCTAATCCAGGCACTCCCATGGATTAGGAGCGGCAGAGGCAGCTAGAGGGGAAGATGGCCGAGGTGTGGTGCAGGGAAGGGCCCAGCTGATGAAGCTCCAGGCCGCAGAGCTGCAGGCTGTGGAAGGCGCCTGGCACTGCAGAAGGGTTTCCGGGCCAGGAAAGTGCCCAAGTGGGAGAGACACACATTGAGGTGTTATTAAAATTCACCTAATTATACTGGAGACACTAAAGCCAATGTGCCGTTTGTTCCTTGGGAGACAGAATGATTGAGAAGGGTCTCGATGGGGATTGGGAGACACTGAGGCGTTACCTGCCGAGCGAGGCAAGCGGAGGCGGCCTGGGGACCTGGCAGCAGGACTGCAAGCAGCCAGCGTCACAGCCAGTGGCAAAGACAGGGAGCAGGCATGGCCCCACAGTAGGACAGGGCCCTGGGTCTGACTTGGAGCTGATTTGAGCATAGCTCAGGCCTGAGATGGGCTGCCAGGGACCACCCAGCTTCCACCTGGGGGGGCTTGGGAGACCCCTGTTGTTAGCTGTCCCAGGTTCTCCTTAAGGGGTGCCTGGTACACCTGTTTCCAGCTTGGACAGAGTTGAGCTCTTCGGCTAGGCAATCAGAGGTTGCATTCTGGAAGTGTTGGAGAATTGGACGGGGCTTTTGGGAGTGACAACTTTAGCCGGGTTCGCCAGGTCAGGACACAGCTTATTATCAACTGGCCCTCCCCATGAATGAGTCCTCCTTAGCCCAACTAGGAAACCCTTTGAGCTGCTGGGTATTCTGACCTGAGGCAGAGAGATGGCCCAGGCCAGGCCCCCTTGCTCCTGATCTGCTGAGAGTTATAGTGGTCACTTCTTAAATGTCGCCCACCCCAGGCAGCTGGCGAAAGAGAGCCCAGGAGACATTTCTCTAATCCCAGCTGTGCTTCCCTGTGCCCAGGGCCACAGTCCAGAAGGCAGGGGTTTCCTGGGGTGGAGAGATGGCTCTTCCGGATATGGTTCCTGCTGCAGGAAAACTCAGACTGGTGCAGAAAAGGGCCTCCACCTTGAGCATCCCCCACCCGCCTCCCCCCCATGGCCCTGGAACGGTCCCAGCTCAGCCTGGGAACGTCTCTGGCTGATCCATCTGGATCCAAGTGTGAGAAAAGTTCATTTCAGACCCAGCTTGACATTCCCAGGTGGCAAGTTAGCACTAACATCTCAATCTGTATGCGACATTTCAATCAAGCGAAGAGTAACAAAAGCAGAACCATTAACATTCGGAGCTGTTCACCAGTGGTAATGACGGGGAAACTCGCTCAGAAACTGGAAATTACCAAAAAGAGAGAAGTGTATGGAGAGGTGGGGGAGGGGAGGTGGGCGGGGGTGGGGGCAGGGAAAGATTTTTCTACACTTAGGCCAAGATCCAGTGTTTGGATTAATGGTGCCATTACCCGAGAAAGGGTTGCAGATTATCCTCATTCTTAAAATGTTTTTGCTGGCAATTAAACGGCTGCAGTTATTGATCTTTGTTGATTTTATGTCCTCCTAATTTGCATAATCTATTAAAGATGAATGATTCATGATGTATTTATTATGGGGACAAACAGAATTTGCTGGAGGTACTGTCAAGGTGAGAAACAGGGCAGTGCCCAGAGACTTCATGGGCCATCTCAGGAGTGGGTCCAGCGTGTTGGCCTTCGGGCCAGGACTTTGTGGGTAGCAGTGAGCAGTGAGCAGTGATGTAAGGAGAGCAGACATAAGAGAGGTGGACTTTGGGTGAGTTCTTCTAGAAAGATGTTGGCATCTGTGAGAACTGGGCTCCTAGCATGGCTGGGATATGGGAGAGGCTTTGTGTGTATTTGTACAAATTCCCCTCAAAGATTCTTTAAAAGCTTATTTGGTTGGAGAATATGAAGGGCTTTGGTGGAGGAAGAAAAGAGGAGCCCCTTCGGGGGGAGTGATTCTGGCCAGGTGTGTGCTAACAGTGAGAAAGCGGTAAGGTCATCCTGGGCCCATGGCCAGGCAAGGTGTTCAAGGAGCTCTCTTCATCCCCCACGTCTCAGGCACCCAGCTCATCTTCTTCCCTGGGCACAGGCAGCTGAGGCTGCAAACCTTCAGGGATGTGTCCTGAAGAAATGGGCCCGGGAATGTCCTAGCCCAACCTAAAGACCCAACCTTATTGATATTCCTGCCACCTCAGCACTGGAGGCTGATTTCAAACTTCACCAGCCACTTGATACAGCTGTTCCACAAGGTCAGAACTGAGAGGAGAGAGGAGCCTGGACTATTGTGTGGAGGGGAGAGTGGGGCCCAGTGGGCCAGGACACAGCTAATCACATTGCAAGCAAGGGTGGCTGCCGGAGGCTAGAGCTCAGCCTGATAGCCTCCCCTCCCCACCTTCCATCATGGAACCAAGGAGAGAGACGGATTTTTCTGGGTAGTGTTTGCAAGTTCTGCCGAGATTTTAATTTCACTGCATCACAACTCAGCAAGCTGCCAAGTCAAGCTGGTTATTTAAATTTATCACCCACTTTCCCTTCCGCCACTGCGCTGCTCTAGCTCAGCGGCATCTCTTCTCTCCAGCCCACTGCTCTAGGCTGCTGGTCTGGAACGGAGCCGAGTCTCTCCTAGGTGATAAGGAAAAAGGGACCAGCTAGATGAGAGAGTGGGTTAGGGGCACTCTGGGCCCAGGCTTCCTCAGGTTGGCTACTGTGGCTGGTACCTTCTACCAACTTCTTATTCTTCCAAAGTGGCCCACAGGGGGCCACCATCAACCCCTCCGTAGTCCCAGGGACCTCTGGGTCAGTGCCTCTTCAGCAAGAACTCTGGCTCCAGCTGTGTGCTGGTGCCTTCATTCCTTCCTGTCTCCCATCACTGGTAGAAAAGTGCCTCTTCCCCATGACCTCCTCACCTCGACCCTTCCCTTCCTGTGCCTGTCCAGGTCTGCAGCCATAGAGGAGCATGGCAGTAATGTTGATCTGGGAGGAGAATATGAATACTAGTTTCAGGATTCCCAAAGTCACTTGGAGATGCTTCTGAGCATTTAGAGAGTCCCTTGGCCTGGTGAAAGTCCACCCTGAAGGTTAGAGTCCCTACCCCAGGTGCTGGAGGAAGTCAGGGATTACTCAGAGGCTCTCCATGCTCACTCCAGAAGCCGAGGAATACACCGGTCCCCAGAGCTGCTGCACCGAGCCGGCTTCACTGGCCTCTAGTGGGCATCGCTGCCAAGCACTGGGAGAGCTTTGTGCCAGTGTAGTTCTCACCACCTTCATTTGAGTCCCAGAAAGGTAATGGAGGAATGAGACTGATGTCCAGAAACAAGGTAGGCAAAACACAGCTGGATAAAATATAACAACAAGACTTAAGACACAACCAAACCTCACTGTCTGGTGCCAGAAATAGAGGGAAACTCAAAGCCAGGGCCATATGTGAGAGACTGCTGGCATCACACTGAAGGTAGACCCTAATGGGGAAGCCTGGGGTTGTAACTCACCAGACAGGAGACGTGACCTTGAGCCCAAGAGAAGCAGGAAGCTAGAACTGAGTGTTACCCTGCATAAAGCCAGGACCAGAGCAGGACTACACTATCCATGAAAGGGAAACACACCAACTCATCCCAGTGGCCCAGGGAGGCAAGTGAGGGAAAAAATGTCTCCGTGAGAAATGGAGACCCTAAGCCTGATCCTGGTTCAGAGTCCAAATTTATACCATGAGTTTGTGGCAGGAACCCCCAGCCGGGAACTTACATAAAAATTTGTCCAGGATAGTAACCCACTCAGAAACCCCAGCAGGAACAAGGGCAAACCTTCTGTGTAGAGACATTCTACAATTCAGGGCACATGGGACTCCCACAGAAAAAAAATCCACCACTAAAGGTGAGCTCACTATAAAATTACACACCTCATGTGAATACAAACTATCATGAGGGGGAGTTAGCAGAAGCAATAAATAGGACAATTAACACCCCCAAGAACTGGAGATAATAGAACAATCCAAAAGCAACTATAAAATAAGCATGTTTAATATTCTAAAAAAGATCAAAGAAAAGTATCAGTTTTGTGTTTATCATAAATCTCAATTCCACGTCCCCTTCCCCACCACTGCTCAGCAAATCATCAGATAATAGAAATGGAAAAGAACAAAGAATGAAGACCACACCTATAGCTTATTGTTTCGGGGTCCAAGAGCCATGGAAAGAGCTGAGCCTCAGGCAGCCATCAAAGGAGAGCCTGATCTCTGCTTATCCAAGACTGCTAAGTCTCAGCAGAGAAACTTCTCTTTTCTTTGGAAAAATGTCTAAATGTCAGAGAGCCAGGGACAAGGACAGTACATTCCTCTCTGGTGAAAAAAGAGCCTTGTTAGCTGCTCTACCCTTGGGGGTGGCGGGGCAGTATTC